CACAACACCAGTAACACACACACCAGTAACACACACACCAGTAACACACACACCAGTAACACACACCAGTAACACACACACCAGTAACACACACACCAGTAACACACACCAGAACACGCACACCACTAACACACACACCACTAACACACACACCAGTAACACGCACACCACTAACACACACACCACTAACACACACACTAACACACACACCAGTAACACGCACACCACTAACACACACACCACTAACACACACACCAGTAACACACACCAGTAACACACACCAGTAACACACACACCTAACACACACACCAGTAACACACACACCAGTAACACACACACCACTAACACACACACCACTAACACACACACCACTAACACACACACCAGTACACACACACACCAGTAACACACACACCACTAACACACACACCAGTAACACACACCAGTAACACACACACCACTAACACACACACCACTAACACACACACCACTAACACACACACCACTAACACACACACCACTAACACACACACACCAGTAACACACACACCAGTAACACACACACTATTGTGTGTTACTCAATTTATGTTAAAAAACTTTAATGAAAAAAATAAGTCTTTAAAAAAAAATATATATATATTTTTTTTAAAGAATACAGTTCGAGCAGTTAAGTCATAAAATAGGAGCAAATATATTACTATTTAAAAAAACTGTTAAATACAGTTTTCTGTGAACTTGTTACTTCCCACCCTTATCGCCCTACTGTCCTGTCAAAAGTATCATTTTGGCCCAATTATATATTTTATAGTTTTATATATCTATCACAGGTGTGAGGATCTGGAAAGGTTTGAAAATGCCAGAAACTTACTTGAATGTGACAACAAGAGGTAATTAACGAAGGAGTCCAATAGAGGCGTTTCAGGCAGTGTGTTGGAGAGAAACTCCACAGAGGGAACACAGGGATTTGAACCTTTGCAGACCATTTACATGCACTATAGGACACACTACAGGAGAGGCAGATATATCCTCTTTAGGAGAAGATGTAGTACTCCTCAGGAACGTTTTGAGTTGAACTGGGATGTTTCTCTCCGTGTTTCTGCAGCCGAGATGAAGTGAAAACCAAGTGGAGCGTCTCAGATTTCATCAGAGCCTTCATCAAGTTCCACGGCCACGTCTACCTGAGCAAGAGTCTGGATAAACTGGACGCTCTGAGGGAGAAACTGGAGGAGCAGTTTCAGGTGAGACCACGTGAAGTCATGTGACCGTGCTCTAGTTCCTTTATAGCCCAACATTAGCCTCCTTTAGCTTAGCGGTGGAGACGTGAAGTCATGTGACCGTGCTGTAGTTCCTTTATAGCCCAACATTAGCCTCCTTTAGCTTAGCGGTGGTGACGTGAAGTCATGTGACCGTGCTGTAGTTCCTTTAGAGCCCAACATTAGCCACCTTTAGCTTAGCGGTGGTGACGTGAAGTCATGTGACCGTGCTCTAGTTCCTTTATAGCCCAACATTAGCCTCCTTTAGCTTAGCGGTGGAGACGTGAAGTCATGTGACCGTGCTGTAGTTCCTTTATAGCCCAACATTAGCCTCCTTTAGCTTAGCGGTGGTGACGTGAAGTCATGTGACCGTGCTGTAGTTCCTTTATAGCCCAACATTAGCCACCTTTAGCTTAGCGGTGGTGACGTGAAGTCATGTGACCGTGCTGTAGTTCCTTTATAGCCCAACATTAGCCTCCGTTAGCTTAGCGGTGGTGACGTGAAGTCATGTGACCGTGCTGTAGTTCCTTCATAGCCCAACATTAGCCTCCGTTAGCTTAGCGGTGGTGACGTGAAGTCATGTGACCGTGCTGTAGTTCCTTTATAGCCTAACATTAGCCACCTTTAGCTTAGCGGTGGTGAACTGAAGTCATGTGACCGTGCTGTAGTTCCTTTATAGCCCAACATTAGCCTCCGTTAGCTTAGCGGTGGTGACGTGGAGTCATGAGACCGTGCTGTAGTTCCTTTATAGCCCAACATTAGCCACCTTTAGCTTAGCGGTGGTGACGTGAAGTCATGTGACCGTGCTGTAGTTCCTTTATAGCCCAACATTAGCCACCTTTAGCTTAGCGGTGGTGACGTGAAGTCATGTGACCGTGCTGTAGTTCCTTTATAGCCCAACATTAGCCACCTTTAGCTTAGCGGTGGTGACGTGAAGTCATGTGACCGTGCTGTAGTTCCTTTATAGCCCAACATTAGCCTCCGTTAGCTTAGCGGTGGTGACGTGAAGTCATGTGACCGTGCTGTAGTTCCTTCATAGCCCAACATTAGCCTCCGTTAGCTTAGCGGTGGTGACGTGAAGTCATGTGACCGTGCTGTAGTTCCTTTATAGCCCAACATTAGCCTCCGTTAGCTTAGTGGTGGTGACGTGGAGTCATGTGACCGTGCTGTAGTTCCTTTATAGCCCAACATTAGCCTCCGTTAGCTTAGCGGTGTTGACGTGAAGTCATGTGACCGTGCTGTAGTTCCTTTATAGCCCAACATTAGCCTCCGTTAGCTTAGCGGTGTTAGGTTTTTGGACCTATTCGGGTTCTTTGCTGATTCATTAGCTGCAGAAAGATGTGTCATGTGGACACGGGTCTTTCTCCTTCTTCCTGATTCTGCAGAAAGCAGAGAGCAAGCTGAACTCTCCAGCTCATGTTCTTGCAGATTAATTCCATGTGTTGCCATCAGGGTGTATATATGCTCTACCTGCTCTTAAGACTAATCGCTTTTCAAAATCATTCTTGATAGGTTTTTGTAACTTGATTATTCATTTACTCATTTGTATTGTGACGCTATGAACTATTTATGGTGTAAATAGGAATGATCCACATTCAGGGGTGTTTCTGTATCTTCCTGCCTGTGTTCATGCACTGTGGTTTAAAGTGATGCTTGCTAACCTGTGTGTGTGTGTGTAGAAGCTCATCCTGCAGAAGGCCTTCAGCTCTCAGCAGCTGGTTCACATCACGGTCATCAACCTGTTCGAGCTCCATCACCTCAGAGAGCTGCCGTCTGAAGGAGGGGAGCCGAGCTGCAGCGAGCAGCCAATCAGCTGGTTCCAACTGCTGGGGCTCTTCAGTGAGACACACACACACACACACACACACACACACACACACACAGACTGACACACAGACACACACACACACACTGTGATAAAACACTGCACTAATACTGAAAGTGTTCTTTTTACACTCTGATCTTCTATTTTTCTCAAAATTCTCACTTTTTCTCAATATTCAGACTCTCTGAATACTTAAAAATGTTAACTCTCCCTGGTCCCCGGCTTGAGCTTCAACCTCAGGATCCATGTATCTGTGATCCTCTCCAGAATGGAAGTAGTCATCACATACAGAGCATCAACTAGTTCCTGAACAGTGTCCTTCACATGCTGATATCCAAGAGAGGGAGTTACACAGTCACAAGATGGAGGAATAGAAAGCAGTATTCAATGTTTACTTCAGATTAGCTCCACGTCAGAAATGAGCATGCTTGTCATATGTCTCTCTCCATAGAGGCTGAATCATCATGTTAATCACATAGCTATCATATGCCTCAAACAGTCCTGATGCTCTTCTAGGTAATCATACATCCTGTCATGTACAAAATACTGACTTTTTTTCCAAAATGTTGGCTTTTTTTTCAAGAGAATTCTAAAAATCTCAAAATTGTGACTTTTTCTCAAAAATCACAAAATTCAGACTTTTTTGCAAAAATCTCAAAAGTCAGTTTTTCTCAAAAGTTCTGACTTTTTCTCAAAAATTCTGACTTTCTCAAAAATTCTGACTTCTCAAAATCAAAAAATTCTAACTTTCTAAAAATCTCCAAAATCTGAGTTGTTCTCCAAAATCAGACTTCTTCTAAAAATTATGACTTTTTCTTAAAATTATGATTTTTTTCAAAAAATTATGACTTTTTCTAAAAATTATGACTTGTTAAAAAATTATGCCTTTTTCTTAAAACTATGACTTGTTCTTAAAACTATGACTTGTTCTAAAAATTATGACTTTTTCTCAAAAATCACAAAATTCAGACTTTTTTGCAAAAATCTCAAAAGTCAGTTTTTCTCAAAAGTCCTGACTTTTTCTCAAAAATTCTGACTTTTTCTCAAAATCAAAAAATTCTAACTTTCTAAAAATCTCCAAAATCTGAGTTGTTCTCCAAAATCAGACTTCTTCTAAAAATTATGATTTTTTCAAAAATTATGCCTTTTTCTTAAAACTATGACTTGTTCTAAAAATTATGACTTTTTCTAAAAATTATGACTTTTTCTAAAAATTATGACTTTTTCTCAAAATTAAGACTTTTTCTCAAAATCATGACTTTTTCTCTAAATCTAAAAATTATGACTTTCTCTGAATACTTAAAAAGTGTAATAATCAGTCGTCACCGGCTTGAGCTTCAATCTCAGGATCCATGTATCTGTGATCCTCTCCAGAATGGAAGTAGTCATCACATACAGAGCATCAACTAGTTCCTGAACAGTGTCCTTCACATGCTGATCCAAGAGAGGGAGTTACACAGTCACAAGATGGAGGAATAGAAAGCAGTATTCAATGTTTACTTCAGATTAGCTCCACGTCAGAAATGAGCATGCTTGTCATATGTCTCTCTCCATAGAGGCTGAATCATCATGTTAATCACATAGCTATCATATGCCTCAAACAGTCCTGATGCTCTTCTCGGTAATCATACATCCTGTCATGTACAAAATACTGACTTTTTTTCCAAAATGTTGGCTTTTTTTTCAAGAGAATTCTAAAAATCTCAAAATTGTGACTTTTTCTCAAAAATCACAAAATTCAGACTTTTTTGCAAAAATCTCAAAAGTCAGTTTTTCTCAAAAGTTCTGACTTTTTCTCAAAAATTCTGACTTTTTCTCAAAATCAAAAAATTCTAACTTTCTAAAAATCTCCAAAATCTGAGTTGTTCTCCAAAATCAGACTTCTTCTAAAAATTATGACTTTTTCTTAAAATTATGATTTTTTCAAAAAATTATGACTTTTTCTAAAAATTATGACTTGTTCAAAAATTATGCCTTTTTCTTAAAACTATGACTTGTTCTAAAAATTATGACTTTTTCTCAAAATTATGACTTTTTCTCAAAATTATGACTTTTTCTCAAAATCATGACTTTTTCTCTAAATCTAAAAATTATGACTTTCTCTGAATACTTAAAAAGTGTAATAATCAGTCGTCACCGGCTTGAGCTTCAATCTCAGGATCCATGTATCTGTGATCCTCTCCAGAATGGAAGTAGTCATCACATACAGAGCATCAACTAGTTCCTGAACAGTGTCCTTCACATGCTGATCCAAGAGAGGGAGTTACACAGTCACAAGATGGAGGAATAGAAAGCAGTATTCAATGTTTACTTCAGATTAGCTCCACGTCAGAAATGAGCATGCTTGTCATATGTCTCTCTCCATAGAGGCTGAATCATCATGTTAATCACATAGCTATCATATGCCTCAAACAGTCCTGATGCTCTTCTCGGTAATCATACATCCTGTCATGTACAAAATACTGACTTTTTTTCCAAATGTTGGCTTTTTTTTCAAGAGAATTCTAAAAATCTCAAAATTGTGACTTTTTCTCAAAAATCACAAAATTCAGACTTTTTTGCAAAAATCTCAAAAGTCACTTTTTCTCAAAAATTCTGACTTTTTCTCAAAATCAAAAAATTCTAACTTTCTAAAAATCTCCAAAATCTGAGTTGTTCTCCAAAATCAGACTTCTTCTAAAAATTATGACTTTTTCTTAAAATTATGATTTTTTCAAAAAATTATGACTTTTTCTAAAAATTATGACTTGTTCAAAAATTATGCCTTTTTCTTAAAACTATGACTTGTTCTAAAAATTATGACTTTTTCTAAAAATTATGACTTTTTCTAAAAATTATGACTTTTTCTCAAAATTAAGACTTTTTCTCAAAATCATGACTTTTTCTCTAAATCTAAAAATTATGACTTTCTCTGAATACTTAAAAAGTGTAATAATCAGTCGTCACCGGCTTGAGCTTCAATCTCAGGATCCATGTATCTGTGATCCTCTCCAGAATGGAAGTAGTCATCACATACAGAGCATCAACTAGTTCCTGAACAGTGTCCTTCACATGCTGATCCAAGAGAGGGAGTTACACAGTCACAAGATGGAGGAATAGAAAGCAGTATTCAATGTTTACTTCAGATTAGCTCCACGTCAGAAATGAGCATGCTTGTCATATGTCTCTCTCCATAGAGGCTGAATCATCATGTTAATCACATAGCTATCATATGCCTCAAACAGTCCTGATGCTCTTCTCGGTAATCATACATCCTGTCATGTACAAAATACTGACTTTTTTTTCCAAAATGTTGGCTTTTTTTTCAAGAGAATTCTAAAAATCTCAAAATTGTGACTTTTTCTCAAAAATCACAAATTCAGACTTTTTTGCAAAAATCTCAAAAGTCAGTTTTTCTCAAAAGTTCTGACTTTTTCTCAAAAATTCTGACTTTTTCTCAAAAATTCTGACTTTTTCTCAAAATCAAAAAATTCTAACTTTCTAAAAATCTCCAAAATCTGAGTTGTTCTCCAAAATCAGACTTCTTCTAAAAATTATGACTTTTTCTTAAAATTATGATTTTTTCAAAAAATTATGACTTTTTCTAAAAATTATGACTTGTTCAAAAATTATGCCTTTTTCTTAAAACTATGACTTGTTCTAAAAATTATGACTTTTTCTAAAAATTATGACTTTTTCTAAAAATTATGACTTTTTCTCAAAATCATGACTTTTTCTCTAAATCTAAAAATTATGACTTTCTCTGAATACTTAAAAAGTGTAATAATCAGTCGTCACCGGCTTGAGCTTCAATCTCAGGATCCATGTATCTGTGATCCTCTCCAGAATGGAAGTAGTCATCACATACAGAGCATCAACTAGTTCTTGAACAGTGTCCTTCACATGCTGATCCAAGAGAGGGAGTTACACAGTCACAAGATGGAGGAATAGAAAGCAGTATTCAATGTTTACTTCAGATTAGCTCCACGTCAGAAATGAGCATGCTTGTCATATGTCTCTCTCCATAGAGGCTGAATCATCATGTTAATCACATAGCTATCATATGCCTCAAACAGTCCTGATGCTCTTCTCGGTAATCATACATCCTGTCATGTACAAAACACTGACTTTTTTTCCAAAATGTTGGCTTTTTTTTTCAAGAGAATTCTAAAAATCTCAAAATTGTGACTTTTTCCTCAAAAATCACAAAATTCAGACTTTTTTGCAAAAATCTCAAAAGTCACTTTTTCTCAAAAATTCTGACTTTTTCTCAAAATCAAAAAATTCTAACTTTCTAAAAATCTCCAAAATCTGAGTTGTTCTCCAAAATCAGACTTCTTCTAAAAATTATGACTTTTTCTTAAAATTATGATTTTTTCAAAAAATTATGACTTTTCTAAAAATTATGACTTGTTCAAAAATTATGCCTTTTTCTTAAAACTATGACTTGTTCTAAAAATTATGACTTTTTCTAAAAATTATGACTTTTTCTAAAAATTATGACTTTTTCTCAAAATCATGACTTTTTCTCTAAATCTAAAAATTATGACTTTCTCTGAATACTTAAAAAGTGTAATAATCAGTCGTCACCGGCTTGAGCTTCAATCTCAGGATCCATGTATCTGTGATCCTCTCCAGAATGGAAGTAGTCATCACATACAGAGCATCAACTAGTTCCTGAACAGTGTCCTTCACATGCTGATCCAAGAGAGGGAGTTACACAGTCACAAGATGGAGGAATAGAAAGCAGTATTCAATGTTTACTTCAGATTAGCTCCACGTCAGAAATGAGCATGCTTGTCATATGTCTCTCTCCATAGAGGCTGAATCATCATGTTAATCACATAGCTATCATATGCCTCAAACAGTCCTGATGCTCTTCTCGGTAATCATACATCCTGTCATGTACAAAATACTGACTTTTTTTCCAAAATGTTGGCTTTTTTTTCAAGAGAATTCTAAAAATCTCAAAATTGTGACTTTTTCTCAAAAATCACAAAATTCAGACTTTTTTGCAAAAATCTCAAAAGTCAGT